TAGAGTGTCTGCTTAGCATGCACTAGGTCCTGGGTTCAATCCCCAGTATCTCCATTAAAAAAAATGAAATAAATAAACCTAATTTACCCCCCAACAAAAAAACCAAAAACAAAACCTCAAGAGTTCCCCGGGTGAAATTTGAGACTGGTCCCCGTACAGAGAGGTCAGGGAGGGACCCAAGAAAGATGGGTGGGTGGCTGGTTTAATAAGCAAGAGAACTTACATATGAGATTTGAGTTGAGCAGGTACAGGACAAGGAAATCTCCACACCCTCTCACCAAAGTCTTAAGAGTTTTTACAGAGGCCTTAAAAGGTTTTTAGTCATACACATGGTCCAGATAGTCTCAAGAACACCTACGCTCTCAAGGCTGCATCCTTGAAATGGCTCCTAGTGCAGGAACGGTGGGCAGAAAGTACATTCCAAGGACAGGGGAGGGAGGGAGGAGACTCTGACTGTCTGGGTCCAGTTTGCAGGTTAACCAGAGGTCACATCCCCTGGTGCTCTCTTCCAACGGTGGAGTAACTTCATCATGGATGGCTTAGGTCTCCACTGGCCACTCTGAGGAAACAGTATTATTCACTTGAGAGGTACCTTAGTAAAGAAAGGGAAGAAGTTTCCCAGTGCGCAGTGTGTTTCGATTGGGACGCAGAGGCCTCCAAATGAAATTCTGATTCAATATAAGTGCCTCACTAAAAAATTATTTGGCCGAAGCTAATAAGCAATCTGGCAAACTTAGACACCAACAAGCAAGGCTCATTTCCCTCATAAGCCTCCTCCCGCCCTGTTCTCAGATGCCTCTCCACTTCCAGCTCTCCCTCCTCCCCCTTCCGCTTCTGATCTCCCTCTTGCACCTACAGACTCCACCCTCCGCTTCCCTGTGCCCAGACCCCTGCCTTTTCTCAATGACTCAACTAAAACCTGAAAATGCTAGTTGCCACTAAAGAGCAACCTGCCCCTCAACCAGTATGCGAGCAACTGTAAAATGTGAACCTTGGACCCGAGCTGAATCAAGGGCTGTAATTAAGAATTTCCCTAAACCCAGACAATACCAGCAACTATTCACAGAAGAACTTAGAATTATTCTGCATATGACATGGATGCATATAACCCCAGGTTCCCTGAGCTACATCAACTTGTCCATGTGTTGGTCAGAACCTCAGATGCTAAATCCTGGATGGCAAAAGCTGACTGGTCTGACCCAGAAAGCGATCCAGAGGATTCCTCTTTCCACAAGAAACCTGGGGGTCAAAAAACGGCCCCCAGAGTAGGGTAAAGCCCCCTAACAGCCGTACCTGAAATACTTCTCATTAAAATCAATGGGACCGTAACTCAAGCATGCACACATATAAAAGGTAAAACTACAGGTGATCTGGAGATAATCTAGAAAATAACTTGGAACAACACTTGGAAGTTTAAGGTGGCTGCATAACAGTGGCATGAGTGATGTAGACAAACCCTTAGAGTTTTAACTCAGCTTCATGGGAATCATCAAAACCCCATTGCTTATTATAGCCACACCTTTGACCTGATTGCAAAGGCTTGTTCTCCTTATTCTAGGGCAGGAGCTTCCAGTGCAAAATGTCAATGCTCTTTCTGAACTAGTTCGAGGCTCCCTACTTGACCTGGCGTTTCCTCTCACAATACAGACATTACTTACTAAGGATATACAACCTTTCACCCAGCCAATTTTTTTAATTGAAGTATAGTTGATTTACAATGCTGTATTCATTTCTGGTGTACAGCATAGTGATTCAGTTATTTATATATTATACATATATATATATTCGTTTTCATATTCATTTTTATCACAGGTTAT